AGCAGACGGCAGCAGATGAAGGAAGCTGGAGAAGGGCGCAAGGATCAAGGTGCCGAGTCAAGACGCTAAACGACGGGGTCTACTAGGCTGAGACTGCCAGGCTGAGAACAAAAGGAGCAGGGTCGACGAGAGGAGTGACGAGGAAACTGCCTATGCGAGGAGACACCGAAGCGGAGGACCGCCGGAAGCTCCATCTTTTCAAAAAACTTCCGAAGGAAGGGTGAGATGTGAGGAGTCTTAAAACTCCCCACAAATCGAGGTGCAGGGGAGCTGCCTAGCAACAGCGAAGAACGCTGGAATATAGAAGGAGTCAAGGGCAAGCAGGTCAAACGAGAAATAATGGACCCGACCAAAGCGGAGAGAGCGTGAACTAACGGTACCGCGCTGGACCTTGAACTCAAGCTGACCAAGGGCACAGAGGTCGAACGGTAACGGTGCGGACTTTGGACAAGCACACCGTGGACTAACAGGACCTGGGTTGGACCTTGTACCCAAGCGGGCCGTGCGCAAAAGGGAGAAATAACGGGATCCCCGCGGTATATAAAAGGGACTGCGCAAGCGCAGCTCGGGACAGTCAGCTAAATACGCGTAAGTCATACGTGCAAGAGGATAATCGGGCAGAGTACGGGCGCAGTTCCGGTGCGGCCGCGCGACAGACAGTCAGCTTAACACGCGAAGAGCCGTACATGCAAGAGGATAACCAGTCAGTCAGTGAGAATACGCGAGAGTACGCGAAGAGCTGTACCCCGGGACAAGTGAACATTCAGTGAGAATGCGAGCGGCGCAGGAGGACGGTCCCTGCGAGTGGAGAACAAGGTGCGATCAGAAGGGTCAGTGGAGTCATTGGTCGGTCAAGGTGGTCCGGACTAACGGGCGATACACCTCCCCACCATAACATCCTAAGCCCCAAGCCTAAACACGGGACAACGGTCGAGGACGCCGGAGGACAACGAAGGGCATCGGCAGCGCACAGGAACCTAGCACGGTCAAAAGAGTCAGTGGAGTCGTTGGTCGGTCAAGGTGGTCCAGGGAAGAGCCGCAGCTTGTCCCAACGGGCGATACACCTCCCCACCATAACATCCTAAGCTCCGATTGAGCCGACACGGTCGTGACGCAAGGGAAGGACGACGAGAGAGAGCGACACCGCGCAGCCGACGGCGAGGACCATAGAAATCTGTCATTAAAGTCTGCAAATAAAGCTGTTCTAACCTAAACTCTGTCTTCTCTTTGGTCGGGCAATCACACAAATCATAAATTTGGTGAGACGAACACACATACTCTCTGAACTAGCCGTTGCAATTCGTAGCGAGAAAAACTAAGGAAAACAGTTGGTCACAATATTTTATACGAAAATGTCCTGTTAGACAAAAAAATGCAAGCAATAACCTTAGCAGGTCCGTTGCGAAGTTAACATCTACTACGCTGAGATGCCAGTTAACAGTTCAGATCAAAAATAAAATTATATAAAAAAGAAAGAATACAGTCCACTATGTCGTTGTTTTTAAAAGAAAAATTTTCTTCAAGATATTAAAAGCAAAAAGTTATAATAAGTTCAATTTAGATTAATTACTTTTGAAATGCAAAAATAAAATATGCGCATAGCCTTGCTGGAACTTTGGCAGAATGTTCACACATGAACACAGATATATAGAACAGTATATAAAACGATTGAACCGCTGCAGCAATATATTGTCAAACATTTGTCTGCCTACATATATCAAAAAATAAACTACGCTTGAGCGTTAGATATAGATATCTGGGAAGATACCACGAACTCCTGCGTGGGTTCAACCAAAGACACTAGAATAATTATTCTAGCAAAGCTAGGAATTAATGAAATAAAATTCAGTTTGAAATGTCAACTCAACAAATGTAGACGTATGCTTTATTTGCAGCCTTTTTACATTCAACGAAGTTGCTTAAGAGAGTATTGGTTTATGTAGACGATCTTTTAGTTTCGTCGTACAATTGCGAGTCCAATATGTAGCTCTTAAAGGAAATGGCAGGCTATCCTAGAGAAGCAAACCTGATAATTAACATATAGCTAAATCAAAGTTCTGTATGACTGAAATTTAGTACCTAGAGAGTCCACAAAAAGTAAGTGCGATCGAACAATTTCCTACACCCACCACTGTCGCCGATGCACTCTCGCGTTGGGAAGAAGTAGTTTCTGATATAGCTTGAGTTCAAACGAGTTTAATTCAGAGGAAGCAAGTTCTTGACAATCACACACGTCTTCCTAGTCTCAGAGTCGTGGGTAATTTAATGTTCAAGAGAACCGAAGTAGCCAAAGGAAATTTGAAACAAGACGAGGATTCATGGAAACTCTCGGTTTCAGTCAACCTCACTGACCATGTTATAGCACGCGCACACAACTTACCCGATTTTGCAAGCATCGGCCGTTTTTGTTCTGCCCGTAAATCAAAAAAAAGCCCTAACAATGTTCTTATGCCACACATGGGTAAACCTAGAACTTATCTATTCGATTCTATTAATCTATTATCATATTGATACCAAAGCCCGAGAAAGATCACACGATTCCGTCATCTTACAGATAATGCCTACCTAAATTATTCGAAAAATGCCTTCTAACACTCATAATACCGTACATGAAAGCTCACAACATTATCGCAGCTCATCAATTTGGCTTCAGAGAAAGACGTGGAACTATCGAGCAAGTTAACAGAATGACATCAGAAATTCGCACAGCCTTTGAGCATAGAGAATACATATTACAAGGCGATATTCCTCGATTTATCATAAACTCATAAACTCCTTGAGTCGTACCTCTACAACAGAGCCCTCGCAGTAAGTGCAACACCTCGCGCTACACCGCAACATTCAACAACATAAAGCAGCGCACTTGGGCCAGCTTTTCTCGCCCTTTACACAACGGATATTCCCACGAGTTACCGACTAACAACATCCACTTTGGCTGACGACACTGCGATGCTCATCCGCTCCGGATGCCCAGTCCGTGCAACAACCCAACTTGCCAGCCACCTCACGAGAAGTGGCTATCTGACTGGCGTATTAAAATAAACGAACAAAAGTGTAAACACATAACGTTTACTCGAAGGAGACAAAATTGCCCTTCGCTCTGCCTGAATAGTACGCTAGATTCCCTAAGGTCAACTAAAACTAAAATCCAGCGCCTCCACTGGATTATAAACGGCCAATCGCCCTTGCGTCTGGACTACATGGTCAAGCTCTACAACTCTACTCTTAAGCCAATCTGAAAGTATGGCTCCCAGCTCTAGGGCAACGCGAGCAGAACCAACACAGACATAATAAAGCGCGTTCAATCAAAGATCCTTCGGGGCACCATGGTATATGAGAAACCAAAACATCCACAGGGATCTCACGCAGTAAAAGATGACATTGACAAGCAAAAAGGAAAGGCAAGGGAATTGACTCGGGTCTCCACCCGAATCCGACTGCAACGTACCGACTTTCTTACCCAGCCATAATTCGTCAGGGCCATTTTTACTGCTCTAGTCTACATAACTGCTAGTTAGGTTATAGTATAAGACTTGAAATTGTCTCGAAATTGAGAAGATTCAATAAATAAAAGCAAAGTAAAAAAAAAATGTCTAATATCTTTTAAATGATACACGCCTAATGACTTATTTGCTTCGTTCGCTAACTTGTAGTACGTTGGACTGATTTTTGTAGTTACAAAGACTTTAATGAAAACAGACGCTAGTTTGCTATTCAACTTTTTTATAGCATTACTCTGAGCGAAACTTAGGACGAAAGCTATGTCTGCGGCCTTTAATTGAACTGTTTGACAATGCAAGTTATATACCCTAGAATTTGCTTCGTGAGATTCTGAAAGCTTCTTTTTAGCCTGTTGGCGTACGTTTTGTAACATGTGAGCTGTTTTCAGTGCCACATCTTCAGTCAATCAATTTAAATTTCTAAGCAACTCATAATCCTTTCCGTTGGCTACCATGTTTTGACCTGCTGGTAATAATATTTTGTTATTACCAGCGGTATAGGTTATTGGCACATAAATCGGACAATTTAAATTATTTGGTCTAATTATAGAGAAATCCTCTGGTTTAAAATCTAATTGGCAATTACATTTTTTTATAAAGTCAATGCCTATTATTCCATTACATTGTATTAGGAATTGCTTATCTAGTATATGAAAATTTTGTGGAAATTTGTATTTGTCTATCTGTTTCTCAATTGACGTTAAACCTTTAGATTTAATAATCTCTTGGCTAATGCCCTGGATATTAATTATACCCGTTACTTTTAGAGTAAAAGGATATACTAGATTCGTTGAAAAGTATGTAACAGGCAGAAGGAAACTATTAAAAAAAGCTAAAATGTTGAGATTAAGCATGCAGCTTTCAGAGACATAGACACAGCGCAGCTTTTGTTTCCAAATGTTGCCAAGCCCACTCCAACGACCACAAACCGTCCAAAATTGTCACGCCAACACTTTTGAAAATTGTGATATTTTTTTTTATTTTTATATTATTATTTTATGTTGTATGTCTTATACATTTCTATAGGTTCGCCAAAAACGATTTTGCCAGGCCCACTCTAACGCATACAAACCGCGCAAAACTGTCACGACCACACTTTTGAAAAACTTTTAAGTTTTTTTATTTTATTATTTCTGCTCCTAATGTCTACCGATATAACAGCAAAAAAATGAAATTTTTCGTTCGCACCTCCATTAGTTGATTGACGGCTATCTGATAGTCGGGGAACTCGACTATAGCATTCTCTTTTGTTTTAAATTGTACTTTTGCTTTTCTTGGAAATATTGTACTGTTTTTCAAATCCTGATATGTAACCACTTTATTTTTCTGTTACCTTACGATTGTGTAAAAATCGGACAACAGCAAATTTGAATTACTTCATGTATATAGTAGTAGTCAATTGGCGTGCAAAGTAACTACGTAGACTGCCGTTCACAGTTTTAAATACTTAACAATGTTGTAAAGCGTATTTTAAACTAATCAAATTACATTTCGTTCAAGGTTTTATAATAACACAAATATTTGGAGTAAGCTTATATCATCTGCAACGGGAATGTTTTCTACTCAAGATGGTTACGATATGGTTAAAAATTTTTACGATAAGCATTATGGACATTTTGGCAGTGCGCAACACCTTATAGAGAAATCACTTCGAAATATCAAAGAAGAAATTTATTGGAGTAAACAAAATATACGCGTAATAGAGGATTGGATTGACCAATATTTGTCCCACGCCCCAAAACATACATATGTAACTAATAAGATATGATATAAGTTGTTATACATATTTGCAAATAAAATACTGTTTGAAATTACTTAATTTCCAAAATCTTTCTTTTTGTACATATGGTCTACAAAATCAAACACTGTTATGGTCAAGGATTATTATATTTTGAAGAAATTATAAAAAAGAAATTAAAATTCCTTCTCGTAAGTTAACGTGTTACGTAATCCGTCTTTAAAAATCGGAAGACTTTGAAGACATCTGAACAGCCAAGAATCTGACATCTGATCTGTACAACTAGTTCCTGCAGAATCCAAAGCAGTTTTGCATTTTTGTTATTCATAGAATAATAATAAAACTTCGTTACGTTAGGCGTAAAACCATTTCTTACCCTTCACTTCTATTTATACCCGTTACTCGTAGAGTAAAAGGGTATAATTATAATGCCATTTTGACTCAACGAGGTATTGGCTGTTTTTATTGGCATGAATCCTGAAGGTCTTATGATCTTAAAATAAGGGTGTACGTGGCAAGGAAGTGCGAACGAGAAATTTCGATATTTTCTGGAATATCGGTAGAAATTGGAAAAAAAAAAGTAATGAAATAAAAAAAAAAATTTTTTAATTTTCCAAAAGTTTGGGTAAAGTTCTTGGTAAATCTATAGGAATTTACAATACATTTAAAAAATAACAGTCAACGTTTACACTCCGCGGAGATTAGACGTGCTTTTCGCATCGCAACCCAAGTGACTGCGTCAACCAAAATCTTCTTATCAAAAAACAAAAATGAGTAAAAACAAATCTTCAGAAGAAACCAAAAACAAATTCTACAAATAAACCGATACAAACCGATACCTTACATGCGGAAATGAAGTGGTGTCTTGACAAAAAAACTCGGCTGGAACATTACTAGTAAAAACTAAAGAGCTTTACCAAGCAACAAGGCTAATGAACATGAAGACATTCCAAAATTTTTCTGTAAACGTATCCGAGCACAACAGTTTGAACTCCACCCAAGGCGTAGTTTATTCAAACGACCTACGGGGTATTCCGGAAGACGAAATACAAAGGGAACTTGCTCTCCAAAAAGTTATTAAAGTGGAGAAGATATTCAGGTTTCGTGACAACAAACCATCAGAAACAGGCCTGATAAAGTTTACCTTCGATACCACACTGAAAATTGGCTATAAGAGTGCCAAGGTTCGACCATACATCCCCTTACCTCTTAAAGGCCGTAATTGCCACCGACTTGGACACATAACAAAAGCGTGTAAAAGCCCAAAACTTCGTTCCAACTGCTCTTCACCTGATCACACCACCGACAACAGTGAATGCACATACAACAAGTTGTGCATTAACTGCAGAAATGATGTCAACGACCAGCACAACCATAGTCCGGTAGACAAATCATGCCCAGCCTTCCTCAAGCAAAAAGAGATCACAGCGATTAAAGTCATTGAGCGAGTGGATTTCAAAGACGCCATCAAAATTTATTACACCCGGCACACCCATCAACCCACGTCATACGCAAAAGTAGCTGAATCTAAAAATGCACCCAACACAAACACAGAAATGGAACAATCCAAGAAACCCCAACAACGACCCTTACTGAATTATGACGACGTATCGGACAACAAACCTTCCACTTCCCGGACTTCAACTTCGCACTAACCAATGATTGAAAGCGAAAACGAAGATATGGAAATCAACCGCTTCGAAGCCTATATTCAGAAGACCAACAAAAAGGACCCACCCGAATCAGACCATAAGCTGAGAAGCCATAATAAAGAAAAACCAGTCTTATCTAAGACCCTGAAAGACAAAGATAAACCAGAAAAGACTTCAATTAAAAAACTTACAAATCCGAATAACTAAATCATAAAACCCTCAAACGAAAAACTTAAACCAAACCATTAACACCTCCTCTTAGTCAAATTTCAAGCCCCCATTAATAAAAAATGTCTCTAACTATAATTCAATGGAATCTAAAAGGATATGTAAACAACTTATTCCTTATTCTCATTAAAAAACACTTCCCCCACATAATTTCCCTCCAAGAAACCCACATACAATACACAAATAACATACCAACCCCAATTAACTATAAGCTGTTAACAAATATAGCCACCAACAGATTTGAAGGCGTAGCACTACTAGTTCATAAGTCAATCCAGTACACTACCCTCAACATCACAAGCGATCTCGAAGCAATAGCTAAAAGCATACAATCTAAACTAAAATTAAACATATTTTCCACATACATTCCCCAACCAAAAACATTAATAACCAGACACTTCAAAACACATTTAATATACAACAAACACCCTCACTAATCACAGGAGACTTCAATGGATGGCACCCGTCCTGGGGCTCCCCAAAAACGAATACACGTGGGAAAATACTCCAAAGAGTTTTTGACAATTCACACCTTATTCTATTTAACAACAAATATCCCACACACTTTTCAACACACAATACTTACACACACATCGACCTTACACTCTGCTCTCCAATCTTACCCCCTCACGCCAAGTGGGAAATACTAGACGACCTCCATTGCAGCGACCACTTTCCCATTATCACGACCCTATTTCCAACAAATAGTATACAAAAATTCAGCAGACCGTTTTTCAAACTGAAAGAAGCCAACTGGAAACAATACAAAGTACTCACTCAACAAACAAATAGAAATATCATATTTCCCAAAACGTTAACACCTTGACCAGCTACGAAACCAAAAACAACTTGCCTGGAAAAAATTAAACCGAATAATTACCTTAGAAAACATTATCGACTATAGACGCAAAAATGCAAAATTTAGGTACGAACTAAAAAAAAGAAAAAAACACTTCCAACTCTTTTACCTCATCCATCCAACCCAGTACCCCTTCATACATAATATTATTATAATATGGGCTAATATAAGACGCTTCTGCGGACTAAAGCCAACAAAACAAATTCATGCCATCTCAAACCCGGTAAACAATGAGACAACATTAGACGGCAACGAAATTGCTAGCATATTTGCAAAACATTTTTCTGACCTCTCCGGCGACTGGAACTTTACAGAGGAGTTCCGAAACAATAAATACAGAAACAACTTACAAATCTACACCCCCTCTCCAACTGCCCAAACCATAGAAGAAAATATAACATACCTTGAACTTATCTCAGCCCTCCAAACATTAAAAGGATCTGCTCCAGGACTTAACAGAGTCTCATACCAAATGGTCAAAAATAGTTCCACCACAATAAAAAACAGAATAACAGAATTAAAGCCTAATAATTATTAGTTATTATTAGAAAACATTTCGTGAATGATAAAGAGAAAAAAAAAATTAAGTGTATAAGCTAACACTGTTAATGGGTAAAATTAAGTCGATATAAGTCCGGGGTTGTTACCCTAACATTACACTAATGTTACCCTAACATTTTATATGCAGATTCAGCATAAGCGCCTCTAGGGGCCGTGCCTGGTTCTGATAGGTCTCCCCAGTATGGGGAGATATGCTGTTTCTGCTTGTGTCAGCAGTCTTGCCGGCCGCATTTGTAAAATAGAATAAGTTTCAGTTTGATTTCAATTATAATAAAGAGCACTCGCTCAAGAATCCTACTCCAGCGAAGGCTGCATATTTTATATTGGTTGGCTAGCCTTAAGGACAGTCAATAACGGAGAAAGTTCTCCCAACATATATAAAACCTATACCAAGCTGCGCAACGAGACGTTGCGCATCACGAGCAGAGAAGATCGCCGCTCCCCTCCCTGATCGAAAGGCGGCCAAGCCGGACTGACGTCATCACCCCTTTCCGTCGGACTGCGGCGTGGGACAACCCAGGGAAATAACTAAAACATAATTGGCACCCAATTATGAAGAAGAATTCACGACCCCCAAGAACGTAAGTGGGCTGATCAAAGTTAATACAGCTTCAATTAAATTAAATCCCTACAAATTATTCACCAAAAATCTTAACATATAAAATTTAAATAAAGTGTGATTATAAATGTGACTCGCAAATAAAGGCAAATTAATATCATTAATTTATTATTATAATTCATTTATAATCATTATCATTAATAAATGAATATTTCAGACGCCAAGCACTCGGCTATTTATATAAATATACCACAGTCAAATTAATTTCTGTCGAATTAAAATATGGTTAATGGCCTTATGAGTTTCCCAGGCCGATATAGGGAAACTAAACGCGAATTAGAAAGTGATAGTGAAGAGGAGTTCGTCCGAGAGACTCTCAGAAATCCAGTAGCACTGACAGAAAATAACACATACACCATGAACGCGGCCCAAATTGAAATTTTAATTCAGGCGGCTTTGTCTAATCAAGAACAGAGGCTTAAAGCCGAATTTGCGGGGCAAATCAATGCTGTTAATCAACAGTTAAAAAATTTGAGTGTAGAAGCGCCAGAGGTAGAAACCTACCAGAGGGTAGCTGTAAAACCGGGAGCAACACCGTGTGATACACTTTTACACATTGTGAAGTCAATTCCAGAATTTACTGGTAAACAGGATGAATACGTGGCATGGAGGCAATCGGCCACGGATGCTTTTGAATTATTCAAGGATTATCCAGATAGTAGCGGACATTTCCAAGCCGTTACAATTATTAGAAACAAAATTAAAGGCAAGCGCGAGCGCTGCTAGTTTCACATAACACAGTGCTTAATTTTCACGCCATTTTGGCTAGACTAGACTGCTCCTATGCAGGCAAAACATCCTTGCGCCTATTACGACAGGGTCTTGAGTCTGTCCGTCAGGGCGAGCAAACCCTAATACAGTACTACGACGAGGTCGAACGAAAATTGACCCTCGTTACTAACAAAATCGTCATGACATATGACGACGAAAGAGTCACATTGCTTAATACAGAGGTTAGGGCTGATCCTCTACATTTCAGGTTTAAAAAATCCCTAAGGGCTGTTGTGTTTCCAGCACAGCCCAAAGACCTGCCAGCAGCTCTGGCATTAGCAAGAGAGGCAGAGGCCAGTATCGAACGAAGTATGTTCGCGGCTACATACGCCAAGTCGGTGGAGCAAAGAAATCAGAATAC